TGGAGTCTCGCTCTGTCACCACTGAGGCTGGAGTGCAGTGGCACAATCTTGGCTCACTGCAACCTCTGCCACCCAGGTTCAAGTGATTCTCCTGCCTCAGCCTCCTGAGTAGTTGGTATTAGAGGCGATGTATGTATCTTCTTGTATTTTTCTTAGCACTATTATCTAGATATGACATTGCTGAATTGTAGATATGAATGTAACTAAATAATGCCACATTGCACTTAAAAGTGGTCATGCCAATTTACATCCAATTGTAATTATGAGAATTTTCATCAGTGCTAATACCATACTTTAATTTTTGCCAATCTGATGGCTGTGAATTTCTGCCAAATCATTGTTCTAAGTTGCATTCTTATGCTTACTAGTAATGCAGACCTTCTTCTCATACATGTATTAACTTTTACAGTCTCCACATCAGCAAACTACATATTCCTGTGCCATTCCCCATGCCCCCCCACTTTTTTTTTCTTTTTTGAGACAGCGTCTGGCTCTGTCATTCAGGCTGGAGTGCAGTGGCACAATCACAGCTCACTGCAGCCTCGATCTTCCAGGCTCAAGTGATTTTCCCACTACTTTAAAGTTGGAAACTCATGTATAACAAATGACACTAAAGTTTAAGGACTTTATTATAAATATTTGCAGAATTTATAACTAATAAAGGATTAGCATCCAGGTTATATAAATAGCTGCTACAATAAGGAAAAAACTTTACAATCTGATTTTAAAATGGGCACAAGGTTGGGTGCAGTGGTTCATGCCTGTAATCTAGCACTTTGCGAGGCTGATGCAGGGAAGGATCGCTTGAGCCCAGTTGTTCCAAGACCAGCCTGGGCAACATGGTAAGACTCTGTCTCTACAAAAATGAAAAAAATTTGGCATGGTGACACACACCTGTTGCCCCAGATACTTGGGAGGCTGAGGCAGTAGGATCACTTGAGCCCAGAAGGTCAAGACAGCAAGTGAACTGTGTTCCTGCCACGGTACTCCAGCCTGGATACCAAAAAAAAAAAAAAAAAAAATGACTTAGATCTTTAGGGCTGGGCACAGAGGCTCATGCCTATAATTGCAGCTCTTTGGAAGGCTGAGTCATGAGAATTACTTGAGGCCAGGAGTTCAAGACTAGCCTGGGCAACATAGTGAGACTCTGTCTCTACACATAATAAAAAATAGCCAGGAGTGGTGGTACACGCCTGTAGTCCCAACCACTCGGAAGGCTAAAGTAGGGGGATCCCTTGAGCCCAGGGTCGTGCCACTGCACTACACACTCCTGCCTGGGCAACAGAGCAAGACCCTGTCTCTTAAGAAAAAAACTTAGGTCTTTAAACCAGTTGGAATTGTGTGTGTGGTATGAGGTAAGGAACTAATTTTTTTTAATATGGATAGTAGCCAGTTGTCCCACCACCATTTAGTGAAGAGTCCATTTGTTTCCCATTTTGCAGGTACTATATAATGTCTTTATAAAAAATAACTATATTAAGGTATCACTTACATACCATAAAATTCACAAATTTTAACATTCTGTCATGCAAGCATCAACACAATCCAGTGTTAGAAGACTCCTATTACCCCAAAAAGTTCTTTCATGCCTGTTTGCAGTTAGTCTTCATCTCCACCTTTGGCTCCAGACAACCATTGATCTATTTTCCTTATTTCAAATAAATAGAATCAAATAATATATAGTCTTCTGTGCCTTGCTTTTTTCACTTATCATAATATTTTTGAGGTTTATCCATATTGTTACATGAATCAGAATTTCATTTTAACTGCTGAGTAGTGCACCTTATTTTGTTTACCCATTCACTGATGGACATTTAAAATGTTCCCAGTTTTGGGCTATTATTAAATGCTGTGATAAAAATTCATATACAAATTTTTTTGTGGACATATGTCTTCATTTCTCTTGACTACATAAAGAGAGGTAAAATTGCTTGGACATATGGTAAATATATGTAAATTTTTTAGAATCTGACAAACTGTTTTCCAAAGTGGTGTAATAATTTACAACCCTACCAGTAATATGTGAGGATTCCAGTTTATGTACATCCTTGTTAATACTTGGCATTGTCTATCTTTTTTTTTTTAAGACAAGATCTCACTCTGTTGCCCAGGCTGGCGTGCAGTGGTGTCATCACAGGGACTCACTGCAGCCTCAACCTTCCAGGATCAAGTCATTCTCTCATCTCAGCCTCCCAAGTAGCTGGGACTACAGGCACATGCCACCACACCTAGCTAATCTTTGCATTTTTTTGTATTTTTTTATTTACTGTATTAGTCCTTTTTCATGCTGCTGATAAAGATATGCTCAAGACTGGAAAATTTACAGAGGAAAGAGGTTTAATTGGACTCACAGTTCCAAGTGGCTGGGGAGGCCTCACAATCATGGTGGAAGGCAAGGATGAGCAAGTCATGTCTTACATGGATGGCAGCAGGCAAAAAGAAGCTTGTGTAGGGAAACTCCCATTTTTAAAACTATCAGATCTTATGAGACTCATTTACTACCAGGAGGACAGTGCAGGAAAGACCCCCCCTTCCCCACCACCAAATAATTCACTCACCTCCTACTGGTTCTTCTCACAACACATGGAAATTGTGAGAGTTACCATTCAATATGAGATTTGGGTGGGGACACAGCAAAACCGTATCAGACAGGGTTTCACCATGCTGTCCAAGCTGGTCTCAAACTCCTGGACTCAAGCAATTTACCCATCTCAGCCTCCCAAAGTGCTGGGATATAGGCATGAGCCACCATGCCTGGCCTATCTTTTTAATTTAAGCTATTCTAGTGGGTGTGTAGTGTGCTGTCAATCTGCATTATTTTAAGGAGTATTTTTAAAATTTTTTGACATAATTTCAGATTGAGTAAAAGTTATAAAAACAGTTCTCTCTTCTTTTCCTCAGGAAATAATACATGTACTATATATATAAATATACACAGTAGTCCCCCTTATCTGAGGTTTTGTTTTCCACACCTTCACTTACCCAAGGTCAATCTTAGCCCACCAAGATCTGAAAATATTAAATGGAAAATTCCAGAAATAAACAATTCATAGCTTTTAAATTGCACATTGCTGTTCTGAGGAGTGTGATGAAATCTTGTGCCATCCCTCCCAGGACCTGAGTCATCCCTTTGTCCAGCATATCCCCACTGTAGACACTACCTGCCAATTAGTTGCTTCACAGTCCTCTCAGTTATCAGATCAACTGTCATGGTCTCACAGTGCTTGTATCCAAGTTACCCTTATTTTATTTAATAATGGACTTAAAGCACAAAAATAGTGGTGCTGGCAATTTGGATATGCCAAAGAGAAGCCATAAAGTGTCTCCTTTACATGAAAAGGTGAAAGCTCTTGACTTAATCAGGATAGAAAAAACATTGTATGCTGAGGTTGCTAAGATATGTGGTATGAACTTATCTTCTTTTTTTTTTTTTTTTTT